TTGGGATACAGCCAGGGCTTGGGACCCCAAGTTCAGCCCTTTTCCCACAATACCAAAAGTGTCTCTTAACAATAATAAAAGCTAGCATTCACACAGCACTATAAGGTTGTCAAGGTGCTTTAAATATGAACTTACAACAACCCCATGAGGAGGGGCTTTATCTTCATTTTGGAGATGATGAAACTGAGACTGGGTCACACATAAGTGTCTGAGGCGGGCTTTCAGTGTGCCATGCACCATTGTACCACCCAGCTGCTTCTGTGTGTGTGGAGAGGAGAAAGGGGAGTAATCCTTCACTGGAAGATGAGTTAGGGCTAAAGGCTTTGCCAATTCTAAATCAGAAAATGTATTGTTGGGGCTGGAGATCTTTAAGATAAAAGGCCTCCACTCTGAAGACTAGCTTTTCCCCACCCTGAGGCATGAAGGGGAAGGGGAGGGTTCAGCACATGGCTTTGTGTCCCCTAAGGCTGACAGCCGGTGACGCGGGGGACCAAGAGCAGGGTCTCTGCTGCATTCAAGGGTTTGGATGATTGTGACTTAGTTCTATTTGTATGTGTATATAGCATATAGTATTTGTGTATGCATATATGCGTGGGTGAATATATGTATATGTTTGTATACATATAATTTTAAAACCATCAATTACTATATAAGTATTGACTAATATTATTACTAACTCAAGTTCAAGGTAAAGGCCTTGTTTTCATTAGTCATGCTGGGATGGTCTCGGCAGACTGAGGTAGGACAGTCAAGTGAGGAAGCTAAAGATATGGTTTGGTACAGACAGGAGAAATATTGAAATACAGGCTGTCCAAGCAGCCAGGTTGGGAGATAAACTCTAATGAGGGGGCAGCACAGGGTTCACAAGATTTAGTCTCACAAGAAGAAAACTCCTCCTCTGGGTAGATCCTCCTCCACCTTCCAGGAGAGTAGGAAAGGAAAGGACTTTACTGAGAACCTTTCTCAGGTTCTCCAAGGGACTGTTTTCCCTTGGATTCTAAACCAAGGGCTAATAGGCAGTAATTTCTGGTCAATCCTTCAAAATGATCATTCTGATCAGTCTCTGACATTGGCACCTGCCAGGCATGATCAAACTCTTCTTTGGAGCTCTGCACATACATGATCACGTTGTCCTTCTCAATATGTGAATAGAAATGCCTAGCCTAGAATTCAAGGCCTCCTACAACCTGGCACCATCCTGGCCCAGCTCATTTCACTTTACTTTACACACTCTATATTCAATCAAATCAATTAATGCACATTTATTAAGAGTCTATTATGTGCCAGGCACTGTGCTAAGCTCTGGGGATGTGAAAAGAGGAACTCACAATCTGATGAGAGGAGAAAACAAATCAACAAATACATACAACAATATAGATAGATGGATAGATAGATATAGGTGGATGGATGGATAGAGATAGAGAGAGAGAGAGAGAGAGAGAGAAGATAGATGGATGGATGGATAGATAAATAGATATATAGATAGATGGATGGATGGATGGATGGATAGATATGGATGGATGGATAAGGAGATATAGATAGATGGATGGATAGATGGATAGACAGATAGATATAGATGGATGGATGGATAGAGATAGACAGAAATATTATAGCCAACATATCTTACAATGGAAGCCAATAGGCCAAGATTAAAGGCTAAGACAAAGATGTTAATAAGACAGTAATACATTCAGTGTAACTGGGCAAATTTTGAATGGATGGATGGTTGGATAGAGAAATATAGATAGACAGATAAATAGATAGATAGATATAGATGGATGGATGGATGGATAGAGAGATATAGATAGATGGATAGATATAGATGGATGGATG